GAACTGACGTGGCACCATTCCAGGCCCTGGCCCCACCCTGCAACTTTCAACGTACTAGCTTTCGTGACGAAGCTACGAAGCAGGTACTTGCACCGAGGTTTAGGGTTTAGGGTTTACATGTCCCCCAAAACCCTAAACCCTAAACCCTCCCCCTCCCCAAGCCTTTCCCCAAACTCTTCTAAGCCCAAGACCTCATCCAAAAGGTCCGACTGCACAGGCTGCAAGCTCCCCAAACCCTAATCCCTAAGCCCTAAACCCTAAACCCTAAACCCCTAAAACCCCAAACACCCCTGACACCCCTAAACCCCAAACCCTAAGCTTAGACAAAAATCGCTTCGAAGCTGTGTGTTCCAGGCCATGGCAGCTTCGGTGCATGTGGCCAAGAACCTAGAGACCAAAAAGAGATCCGTCAAGGGACGCAGGATTTTGTCGCCTCAGTAAGTACCTATGTTATTTGGGCGGCTCCGTATTATGGCTACACTATACGGGACCCCAAAACCCTATTGAAATGATTAAGGCCCCTATATTAAATTAGGATTTTAGGGTCAAGGGGTTTTCTGAGGTGTTCAAGGTTCCTGGGTTGTCGCGGAGATCTGTTTTCTTAGGAAGGACCACTGAGAGGAAGGTCCTACCCGAAAGGCCATATGCATGCACACGCCAAGGTTCGGGTGTAGAGCTCTCAACTGTCACCCTAAACCATAATTGAGCCCAAACTGCTGAATCAAGCCCTAAACCTTAAGTAAATCCTCAGCTCTCAACCGTCAACCCTAAACCCGAAACCCTAAAGCTTAGTGAAGCCCTAAACCTAAAGTAAATCCTAAGCCAGGCTGTTTGGGGCTCATAATCTCTATAGGGAAGACTTTTCAGTTCAAGGGTTTGGGGATTGAGGGGTCTAGGTTATCCTTTCAGAGAACCCTGACCCTTAAAGATACCCTATAGTGAACCCTAAACCGCTATAGAAGTCTTATAAAGCTTTTAAATGATTCCTTAAACGAGCTAGGGATTCGAATTTAAAGGGGTTGGGGTGGGCGGTAGAAGGTTCGTGGAGTTTGGGTGCAAGGTTTGGGGTTCAGAGGCTCTGTGAACAAAAAATGGATCAACCATAGGTAACCCTAAACCCTAAACCTTAAACCCTAAACCGTGTGGGCTTTAATGGCTTTTGGGGTATTCAGAACTTTCAGAGCTTTTGGGGTTCTTCTACATTTTGGGGCTTGCGGGCCTTTAGAGCTCCGCAGCTCAGAGGCCCCTTTTAACAAGGGATCTTAAGCGTTAGGGTTTAGGGTTCTGGGTTTTGGGTTTAGCGTTTAGGGTTCAGTTTTTTATGGTTTAGGGTTTAGGGTTTATGGTGCGTCTGAGCTGTGGGTTTCGAGTGGCTTCAGCGGCTCTTCCTGCCTATGTGTCCAGGTTTTGAGGGTTTCGGGCTTTGGGGTTTAGGGTTTAGGGTTTAAGGTTTAGGGTTTAGGGTCTACTTCGCTAATCCCTGTTGGACCTCCAAGCAGACATGCACGAGGCTGTAGAGCATCCAGAGAGGTGCTAGAGGATAGACTTTCCCGTTGTTTAGATAGGACTTGACCAGCTTTCGACCTAAACCCTAAACCCTAAACCGTCTTACAAACAAGTTTTGAAGGCCCGAGGCACCAGCATCAAACATGATAAGCACCCTAATCCGTAATCCCTAAACCCTAAACCCTAACATAAGCCCTGCACTCCTAGCACCAAGCCTGAAGCCCGAACCCTAAGTTGAACCGGCAGATATCCTGTAGAACCGGAGGTACCCAGAGAGCCCAATACAGCTTAGCGAAGGAATCTAGCCTAAATCATAAGGGCCTTCATATTGAGATTTAAGCTATGTTCCTTATTTAAGGGGTGTTGGGCTCTAAGGGTAAGCCCAGAACCCTAAACCTTGATGGTAGTTTAAGGAAAGACAGCCACTGATCGTAGGAAGGCTTGGGAAGCTCGAAAGCCTATGTTTAGGGTTTAGGGTTTAGAGTTTAGGGAGAGTGCCAAGAGGTCGCGCAGACGCTTGGCGCCGATCTTGTCGAACAAGAGGCGCAGATGTGAGAAGCACCACCATCATCAGCACCGTCATCATTGTCGTCATCATCATGTAATCATCGTCGTCGTCATCATCAGCTTAATCAAGACCTAAACCCTAAACCCTAAACCCTAAACCCTAAACCCGCCGCCAGTTCTTCCATGACGCCATGTGTTCTACGGCCGTAGTCTTCATTCCCGATCACTATCTTTTGGAACTGACACCCGAGCCTTGTTCGAACCCGTTTAGGGTTTAGGGTTTTAGGGTTAGACACAAGTTCGAGACCTGTCTACAGACTTCCAGGTTCAGCACAGGGGCAGGGACCTCCTAAATCTCATATAGATGCCTAAATATTTACGAATCTTATTTTGGGGGTTCCTTGTTATAAATGTAGTATGGTGGGCCCCAAAACCAATTCTAATTATTAAGGCCCCTCATATAGAACCCTATCATAGATCCCTTATAGAACCCTTTAAGGATCCCTTTAAAGGATTCCTAAAGCCCCCTAAACCCTAAACCCTAAACCCTAAACCCTAAACTCCAAACCCTAGACCCTAAACCCTAAACCCCTAAGCCCCTAAACCCCTAAACCAAAGGCCCCTATATTACTACTTTCGACCTTGGGCTTTGGGTATCGGGGTCATTCGTTTGGAAACCCATGGCCCTCCGGCCATGACTCGAAACCCAGACCCTCAGCAAAACGTGGCACGGAGGGATCTGGTTTTGGGTTTAGGGTTTAGGGGTTTAGGGTTTGGGGTTTAGGGTTTAGGGTTTGGGGTTTAGGGTTTAGGGTTGAGGGTTTAGTGCCAAGCCCCAAATAATCCGCCACCGAGGATCTCAACACAAAACAGCTCTTTCAGCCGTAGATGCTTC